TGAGGTTTTGGAAGCAAAGTAGGACAGAAAAGTACACTGGTGAAAAATGTTTGCCAGGTATTTCCTGGCTTCCAGACATAATATGGGCAGTCAAAATCGATCCTCTGAATGCAAAGGCAATGCACTTTCAGCTAATCATTTGTTGTTTTCTCCCTTCAGAACGGTGCCCGGTACATTTTAATGACTTCAGGTCCAACTAATGCTCAGAAATGGGCACCAAGAAACTGTTTTGTGTAAAGTGGTAATCCAAAGTATTTTCAAGAAGGAGAATGACTCAAATAATTAGTGAGAAACATAACTAAATTCCTTGCAAACGTCTGTCATACTCTTTTTGGATGAACCACCTACTTTGAAAGATTTCATAAGAGAAAAATAAATGGCCTGTGTGTGCGGGTGTGTGGATCTTCTGGGACAGCTATGTGAACAACAGGGCTAGAGCACACTAATGCATTTTTGTTTTCATGCACTGTCTTTATCAGCAGCGGAGGTAAATTTCTTAGTACATTTACTTCTGCTCTCGAGTGGAGGGAGGCAAGCAATCTTTTCTTTTACTCTATTCTTCTTTCCTAATAATATGCTTGCCCAGTAATAAAGCAGATTAGATGTATCAGGTTGTTACCTGCAGATACTTTTATTTTCCTTCCTCCATTCACTAGTGAGTCTTATAAAACAGTAGAAATGGCTACTCAGCTGTTTTTTGGAGGGGCAAGGGTGTCATAAAAATATTAAATGGATGTATCTGTTAACACTTGAATGCCATTATTTGTTTTAAAATCAAAATCTCCTCTTTTCTTTAATAAGTTAAATAATTTTCTTTATTCTGTATGAGAACGTAGCCATTAACCTTTCCACTTTCAGAGACTAAGATATGTTAGAAAGGAAGGAAAACATAAAAGTCAGATCCTGATGTTTTGCAAGAATTTTCATGATTAAATGGTCATGGTTATTTTCTTTCTGATCATCTAATATTCCAGTTTCTACATGCAGTTTTTTTTATCGTTGAAAGTATTACAATGTCCCCACCCCCCATTGACCCCCTTCTTCCTGCTTCCTTAAGAGTGGTTAACAAGCTGAAAGCTTGACTCAAAGGAACCGCTGAGCTAAAGCCAGCCCCCCAATTTTTTTTTTATCCTCACTCAAGGATATATTTTTATTGATTTTTTTTTTTGAGCGCGAGAGAGGAACGGAGAGAGAAAGAAACATTGATGTGAGAGAGAAACATTGGTTGCCTCCTGTATACCCCCCAACCGGGAATTGAACCCACAACCTAGGTGTGTGCACTGAGCAGGAATCAAACCCACAACCTTTTTGGTGTACTGGACACTGCTCCAACCAACTGAGCCACTGGGCCAGGGCTCACTTGGAATTTTTATATCTTCCTCAAAATATATTGTCTTGAGAGGCTTAGAAGACTATTTTTTCCAGTGTGCCTTTCATTACTACTATTTTAAATTTACTTTCATACTTTAGAGCTTCCTTTGTCTCCAGACTCTTTTTAGTCATCTGTGTAGTGGCATTATTTGTTTGCTAGCTGATGCATTGATAGGATCCAAGACTGTTTTTCAACAACTGTTTTGCAAACAGTAATTAAGAAAACATTGCTTTGATGGCAGCCGTTAATATTTATCATACAAATGTAAAAATTGTATTGAAACAGATTAGTCATATACAGTGGCACCTAGTGACACGTGATCTCGAATATGCGATTGTGTAATTGTAGAATGTAGTAGTTTCCTTCCTTATATCTACCTCTGAGTGTTGTAATCCAGTCACACCTAACTTCTTTTACTAGAATATTCTTTTACTATCTCAGTTTATATAATATTATAACTCAGAGGCATAGATTTCTTAGTTACAGAATCTAAAATATTACTATTTACTTCTCTGAAAATCAGGAGGTTTGAGCCGACAGAGGCACTAATGCTCTCCTTTCAGAAACTATACGTATAGGGAATTAGGCAGCTGCTGTCCTTGGTGATGAAATTATTTCATGTGAATTCATAAGGAAAAGAACTAGTTAAAAAAGGCTGAATAATCTTGAATATACTATTTGTGGCTACAGTTGATATCTTCATAGATCTATTTGAACTCGAAAAATGCAGACTCCAGTATCTTAATGTCTTGAGTTCCTGACTGCCAGGCAGAGGAAATGTTTAACTATTTTAATCATGTTTCTGTATCTCAGAAAGAAAGCCCTTATGAGAGGAAATGACAACGTCCTACCACAAAGTTATCTCTTATCAGTTATAGTCTCAGTCAATAATGATTTGTCAAACTTGGACATGTGTAAAATGCAAGGGCTGTGTTATTTACTTTGGAAAGGAAAAATTAGATGCAGCTGATAACGACAGAGTCATGGCTTTTGTTAGGAGACAGAAACCATTAGAGACAGTCATTGTTAGCTTAGGAAAGTGTCCTTGGACCCCTCCCTCTGCCCCAGCTGAAAACTAAACCTGCTTGAATCATTCTTGCAACTTGAGGGAAGGGAGGGGCAAAGGAGGGGAAGAAGAATGAAGACAGCTTTGACAGAGATTTAGCATTTTAAGTGGGGAGCAAAAGGTGGACCTTAAAACAGACCTATTTATGTGAGTCAGAAAAACTGCCTTTTGTTCTCTTCTCCACCCCCATTTATTTAGATTTTTGAAAGTTCATTTTTTATCCTTCCAAACATGTAGCATTCCTTCACGTACAGTGTAGGTTGTTCTCTTCCTTTCGCCTTTCCCTAGATGTGATTCTTTTTCATTAGTGAACGCAGAGAAAACACATCTAGCTCAGAGCAACATGAGTTAGTGCATGCTTCACATACCTTTCTCCCCTGCGCTCTCCTCCATCCCTCAGAAGGCAGTGTGGAGGAGAAAGGATTTCTAAACAGCAGGCTACTTTGAGGGTGGAGGTGAAGTTTGTGAACTGAAGCCCTATTTTGCTCCATCTTTTCTTGTCTAGATGTTGTGTCCTGCTTTCAAAGCAGGCAGTCATGTGCGTAGGAGGACTTGACTGGGATATGGTTTCAGAACTAAGAAATAGCAAAGCCAATATTTCCAGGTCAGGGCACTTACACAGTTTGAAGTTGGGTATGATGATGTCAAGACAGCCTCCCAGAGAAAAGGTTTGGTTGTAAAAATTTGTTGGAGATGACAGGAAAGGCCTTTGTCTCCTGTGTGTGTGTGTGTGTGTGTGTGTGTGTGTGTGTGTGTGTGTCTCAGATAAACCAGTCTTATTGGCCTATTAGTAAGGTGCCCCATTAGCTTATCCATCACAGAGTTGCAGGGAAACTGTCCCCTCATGTGAACGTTTATTCTATAAGGATGGATCTGACCTGTGTAAGGGCCAAGGCTCTATCTGAAGAATAGCTTGAAGCAGTTTTCTTTTGAATAAAACTATAGCTCTGAATCAAAGCAAAACAAAATAAATAAACTGCACGAAGAGCATATAAACAAAGTTGTGATTGAATTTTTTATTCAAATTAGGTAAGGAAATACTCTTAGCTCTTTATAAATACATTTATAATAAAAAACTTTATAATAATTCTAAGTAAAAGAAAAAAGTTTCATTTTCTATACAGATCAGGGTTTTTTTTTAATGTTTCTTGTCTTTTTTCATATGCATGTTTAATTTTTATGTAGTTTAAATACTGTTTTAAATATGAATTTATCAAATTTTTTCATTTTTCTTCTTTTGTGGTTGTGTTTTATTTAGCTGTAGTTTTCACTGGTAGGCTCTGGTTTTCTGGAAAGACAAAATAAATTTCCTTCTAATCTCCACTTTGCAGTCAAAGAGGCGAGACTGTACAGATGTTTTAATGTTGCAGTCATTTCAAGTAAGAGTGCCTACATAATCACTTGTTGCTTCATTTTGTGTTAAGATATGCTTTTAAATCTTACTTTTTCTTTATCTGCATGGGTCCATGTGTCCATAAACTGTTTTCTCAGTAATTTTGCATGGGCCATGGTGTAGGATCTTGAGCACCTTACTATCAGTCTATGGATTCACATAAATTTGTTTGAGTGCTTACAGAGTATATAGCACTATGAGATTCTTAAACGTAGAGATTTAATCTCTGCCTTCATGGATGCAAGCAAATGAACAAAATCATCAATCAATTTGAACCAGTAAACACAGAGATGCTTGTATTCTGATGAATCATATAATTACCAGAGTTATAGTAAAAACTCATCTAGCTCTTTTGTTAAAGAATGACTTCTTTACTTAATTTTGTCTTTTCTTTTTTGTTTTGTTCAATATTTACTTTCAGTGTCTCCCTGTGTTCTTTTTTTTTTGGGGGGGGGGAGTTAATCCTCACCCGAGGATATTTTCTCATTGGTTTTTAGATAGAGTGGAAGGGAGGGAGGGAGAGAGGGAGAGGAAGAGAAAGAAAGAGAAACATTGATGTGAGAGAGACACATCAATTGGTTGCCTCCTGCACAACTCCCCAACTGGGGCCGGGGATCAAACCTGCAACCCATGTGTGTGCCCTTGACCAGGAATCAAACCCCCAACTCAATGGTCTGCGGGACAACACTCTAACTGCTGAGCCAAACCAGCCAGGGCTCTCCTTTTATTCTTACTAAATTCCTTTAGGTCAACTGATCATTCTTTTCCAGTTGAGGAAATTGAGGCCAAAGTAAATTGTGATTTACCATTATCAAGTCACATAAGAAATCGGTTTTAGCACTGTGACTATACTGCAGTTCTTACCTGATGTTTTTTGTTTTACTTTGTCTTGTGATGTCTAGGTTTAATCTATATGCATTGTTCATACTATAATTTGCTGGTATTACTTCTAGGTTTGGCTTTTCCATTCTTTATCTTATTTTAATGTGATCTCCCCTCTCTTCCTAGCATATTTCTCTCTCTCTCTCTCTCTCTGTATGTATGTATGTGTGTGTGTGTGTGTGTGTGTATACATATATATATATAAAACAACTGAGTAGTAGAAATGAATGCAGTTGCTGTTTATAGCTTTGTATGAGTACTTTGTGACAATCTCAATTGTTTTGCAGGTACCTGGGGCCCAAGATCTGGTGGATTTCTCCCCTGTTTATCGATGTCTACACATATATTCTGTCCTGGTGAGTCTTTATCTGGCTCTGCCTAATAAAGATATATATTGAATTCTAGCTCTGCTTTCTTAGTTTTAATAGTTTTTCTGAAGAGTGAGGACATAGAAAATATTATTTAAAGAGTACTAATTATAAAAACAAAGTCTTTTCTTCTTGAATCTTATGTTTGCCATATAATATGCTATAGCTAGTAACAATTTCTATATCAACGCATTATTAGATTATACCCCAAAATAGTTACACTTTCAGATTTCAGTTCTTAATTTAGTAATCTACTTATTTAAATAACAATAGACTATCTTTACATATTAAAATAATGTTTGTAAAAACTGTTTTTAATTCCTGATAACAGTTATTTCTTTTGTCATATAAACCATATGGAAGGAGGAACCTCTTGGGGAGGGGGAGAAATTCTATGGGTGTTAATGAGATATTAATAAATTAATTAGAATTTATCTCCATCTTGGTAGTATACCTACCTGCAGACACACAGATAAATACAAAGTCAGTCAGAAAAATAAATTAAACTATGAAGATAAGAGAAGCCCATTATTGCAAAGTTCAGTAAAGCTTCTATCAGGTTGTTTTTAATGTCATGCTAAACAAAATGAGTCTGAGTGTATCTTATTGCTCAGTGTGTTCTCCATTTTATTTCTTCATATAGGTAACATAGTGTCACTTATTCATTACTCTGGACAGTTTGGGCCTGGTCTGTGGACTTTATGGCCTGCAGCATTTTGTGGTGATCTCTATTAGTGTGAGGAAAGACCGGGTAGCTTCCTCTCTTCTATTCTCCTTCCTTTTAGTTATCCTTCCTCTCCAGCTCCCTCTTCCCCTCCCCCTCTATTCTCCCTCTCCACTTCTCTCCATTTATCATTCCTTGTTACATAAAGATGAAGCAGGATGTAAATTGAGTTGTATCAAGGCATTTAAAATAAGTAGACAATTTTTTTCAATCTTATATACAGAGAATTAAAGAAATCATATATATGTTAGTTTGTGACACACTGTCATCATTTCATACAAGGCTGCCTTTTGTATTTTATTTTATCATGTCTTTTCCATTCATCTCCTATCCACAAGCCCACTTGTCTCCCATCCCCAACTAACTCTAATATGGTTAATATATGTCATGGTTATATTTGTGTCCTTGAAAAATAGTCATTTTTGTATATGTAAGTGTTTTTATTTTACTCAAATGGTGGTGTCTTATGGATCTAGTTTTACTTCTTGTATTTTTTTTAAATTCAGCATTATTTCTAATATCTAGCCTTGTTATTGTCTGTGTATCTAACTCATTGCCTTCCACTTCTGCATTATAGTTAACTGATGGTTTGTATTTGCTGTGCTTTAATTATCTATTATGTTAGTGATCAACACTTAAATTGCCCCTCACATTCTTCAAATAGTATCCCATTATGGACCTGTGTATACGTTTCTCTGATTTCTATACCTAGGAATAGAATTCGTGGGTCATAAAGAATATGTAAAATACTTAATTTCACTAATTTTTAATTTTTGTTAACCTGATGGCTATTGAATGATAGCTCTTTGTTATAATTTGTATTTCTCTGATTAAGATTTGTCTTCTCTAAACTGCCTAGATTTAACCTTTGTTCAATTGTGTATTGAATTTTTTTCAGTAAAACACCTAGAAAATAAGTATAATTTTTTCTCTCTGAAATGGCTACCCTGTTATATGTAGAATAGGTGAAAAGTTTATTTTTGTTTTGTTTCTATTTCACAGTGATTATATTTTTTAAATGAAATTTATTCATGTCATTGGTTAATAAGATTATATAAATTTCAAGTGTAGAATTCTTGATACATCATCTGTATATTGCATTATGTGCCCACCATCCAAAGTCAAATCTTTGGTCACTGTATATTTGACCTGCATTGCCCTTTACCACGCCACACACCCCCATCCCACTTCACAATAGTATCTACCATACTGTTGTCTGTGTCTATGAGTTTTTGTTTTTCTTGCTTATTCATTTGTTGCTTTCCGTTGTATATTCCACATGGGTGAGGTCATAATGATTCTTAACTTTTTCTGTCTGACTTATTTCACTTAGCATGATATTCTCAAGATTTCTTGTTTTAGGTGTGTTTTGTTTTGCTGGAAAAATTTCAGAAATTTCTTATACATGGTTGATATTGACAGTTTAGGATATTGTAAATAATTTTTTCCCCCAGTTTGCCACCATGCACTAAACTACATTTATATTATTTTTCATGAAACAGAAATTATTGATTTTGATATAATCAAGTCCATCAATTTTAACCTTATATGTAATTTGTATTTTTACTTTATGTCTTGTTAAAAAAAAAAAATCCCTCTCTATTCTGAGGTCATAGAGCATTTTACATGATCTTTAACATTTTACCATTCATATTTTTATTTTGATCTATCTTGGGTTCACTGTTGTATATCGTATAAGGTATAGATATAACTTATTTTTTTCTCTATGATGAATTTAGTTTTACCAATCTCATCTACTACATAATTTGTACATCACCAGTAATTCCTGGTAGTACCTCTGGCATACCCTAAATATCCATATTTGTATAAATCTATTTCTCAGCTTTATAGTTTGTTATATTTGGTTTTGTAACATATCTGCATAAATGATAAAAGTCCCTTCTCATTTCTCCTCTTTTAAATTGCTTTCACTATTATAGACCTTTATTTTTTAATATGTATTTTAGAATCAGTTTGAATTCATAAAAAAAGTATTTTGATTTGAGTTGATTGAATTTATACTTTTATAATACTGAGTCATCTCATTCATGAAAGAGTAAGATCTACTTTTAAATTATTTAATTGAGCTTTTTTATGTTAATAGTCTTGAGCATTCTTTGTTAGAATAATAGCAAAATACTTATAATCTTTGTTCCTATTTTCTACTCTATTTTCTAATTAGTTATTGCTGATATTGAGGAACACTATTGATTTTTGTATGTTAACCTTACATCTGGCAACTTGGCTCAACTCTTTTATTAGTTTGTTTTTTGGTTTATGGTAGGTTTCCATATAATTGATCCATAATATCTATAGATACTGATTTTGTTTCTTTTCTTTCTAACCATATATCTTATTGTTCTTTATATTGTATTCACCAGAATAATCATTACCTTGTTTAGTAAGGTGATATGGGCTTCTTTGTCTGATTTCTCATCTCAAAGTGAATGTATCTCTAGTTTCTCCTTTAATTGATGTTTGCAATAGGTTTTTTGTAAATATCCATCTAATTATTCCTAGACTCCTGAATTTTTAAAATAAAAACATAAATGAGTGTTGAATTTTATTGAATTTGTTTCCCAAATATTTTTATATAATTCTGTGATTTTGATGCTTTTATTTATGAATGTGGTGAATTTCATTGATAGATTTTTTTTCTAATATTCAACCATCCTTGCATTCTTTAGATAAATCCAACTTGGTAAGGATGTATTACTGTTTTTTTGACATCTTGTGGAATCTGTCTTGTTTGTTTTCTTATTTATTTTTACTCTTTTTTTTTGGTATTTATATGTATGGTCATAAGGAACATAGGCTATAATTTTTTTTCCTTTTCTTGGTATTGTACTTATATGGTTTGTAAGTCAGTGTTATGATAGCATTGAACGTCCTTCCCTTTTCTCTTATTTTATGAAATTATTTATATAAGATAGGAGTTATCTGTTCCTTGACAGTTGAATAGAAATCCCCAATACAGTAATATGCATTTTTTCCTTTGCCGCACAACTTTCTCCTTTATGCCTATCATCTTGCATCTATGTTCCATGATTTGTTTAGTCTCTTCATTAGTATGTATGGTTATAGGAGTTCACAGCTGTATTTAAGCCGTGTCTATAGAAAAAGAACCATATTCACTCATATCAAGTTTCAAGGTTTATTTTAAGCCTCATAATTGCAAAATCAACTAAATTTTTTTCTCTCAAATAGTGTAAAGTCTATGAAAATGAATAGTTTGTTTAGTTTAATGTTATATCCTCAGTACCAACAACATTCCTTGACAAATGATAGGTACTCAATAAATATTAGTTGAATAAATAAATAAGTGGTAGCCAAAGAATGCTGTTCCTTTGTTTGAACATATGCTAACTATAACCTTATTATTCATTTACTTATTCAATAAACACTTACTGATTTTTTTCTTCTGCACAAAATGGATTTGGAGAAGCAAAGATGTATGAATAAGTCAAAAACTTATGTTTAAAAATAATTGCTGGGTGGGGGAGAGATAAACCACAGAACTTATATGTATATGTGCATGAACAATGGACATGGAGAACAAAGCTGGGGACAGGGTGGGGAGGGAGGGAGAGGGGGTACCAGTGGGGGAAAAAGGAGAAACATCTGTAACAAAACTAAATTAATTAATTAATTTTTAAAAATAAAATAAATAAATAAAATTGCAATCTACCAGGGCAGAAGTTATAATTTTTGAATGACTATAATATGATAGCACTGTATGTCATCACTTGCATGCTAGTTTTTGTGAGATTTTACGATACAAGAATTGTAACAAGTTTTTCTCAACTGAAAGCTCTAATAGTGATTCATAAGAGTACTGGAGTAATTTATTTGCACACTTACTAGCTGTGTGGTGTTAGGCAAGTCACTTAAACCTTAGGTTTTTTTCACATGTGAAATGTGATAATAATTACCTGCCTAGTGAAGTTTTAGATAGTGTATGAACGGTGCTGGCTCAGTCTGTGGCATATAATTAATATTTAATAGATGGCAGTTATTATTCTACAGAAGTTATGTATCTCTGATGCTTATTATTAGACACATTATTAGTATTTTAAAAATTGTTTGACAAAGTACAGACATGTAGATGGAGGTTCTAATCTCTGCCATCAACGTAAAAAGTTCATCAATTATTTAAAATGTATACATTCTTAAGTATACAAAGACTATATAGCCCTAAACTGTGAAGACTAAACAGAGGACCTTAAATTGCCCATTTAAAAATAAATTCTACACAGTGGTATTT